TATTTCACCTCTTGGACTGCCAAAGCTGTTATGCAGCCGGTTCTGCATCCCTTGTCACAAGGCTTTGCGAGCAATATGCATGACGGCAAGTGTGGGCGAAAACTTGGCTGGAAACCCTCAGATGCCCATCTATGAGGTGTAAACAATTCGGTTGTGGCTGTGAGAAACGAAAAAAATCAGAAAAAACGGCCTCAAATTACCGGGACCTTGAGAACCCGAAGGAGCATCATCTTGGAATGAGGTGCAATGTCAGCATGGGCCCACAATACTTTCAACCAGTAGGGATAATGTAAGTGTTAGGCTGATGAACCCCAAGTCAGCCAATTGGACACTTCACATCTTGTCTTAGGTTGAAACCATGGGCCCCTAGTATGTGCCCTTAACCCTGGGATCCTTATGTACCGACCCTCCTGTACCCTTATAGGGTCCCTAGATAGCAGAAGGCACCGGCCTCGAAAGTTCGTGTGATGGTGGCCTGATGGATTCCAGGCTGTGCTCTACTGGTTTGAAAGCTGGGCTTCTGCAACCAAACGCCAAAATCAATTCTTCCGGAGACTATGGCTATCTATGGTTGCTATGAGTTCAGGAAGGTGGGCTCCAAGTGAAGCTAAGGGTTCCGATCTGCAGCGCGCATGTCAAGGTCTAACACCTCGCTTCTCCTACTTACAAGTAAGTGACTAGAACTGCTCCAATGGCTGCCTGGTGCCTGGCCAACTCAGGCTGCAAAATCGTCTGCTAATTTGCTGCAACCGGAAATTGCCCTGGGTGCCATTGGGTAGATGGTGGTCTTTCCTTCAGAAAAATCTAGTTATTCTTGGAGCTGGTGGTTTGTAAACTGAGATTTCTGGCTAGGGATTGGGAAATGTGAGCAAGGGCACAGATTGGGATTTGTGCGCGCAACATGGGCTTGTAGGATTCGGCCAGATTTGCGGAGACCATGCGTGCACCAGGCAGGGGCTGTCAACTGGATTCTGCAGCCCTCCCTCCCATCCCCGTATCTCAGTCTTGCACGAGCTGCTGGAGCTCCACAAGCAAAAGGGCCTCACAACTCATGCTGACTCAACTTCCCAAGCTTCTCGCTGCTCAACAAAAATGCCTTTTGTACACTGTCGTGGTCATGACTTGCCATTTGAAGCCCAACTGCTAAAGTTGCGCATGGGTAGAATGGCATGAACATTATTCAAAGGGCTGGCGGACCAGGGTCAGGGACACCTCAAGCGGATAATACCCACACCCAAAGAGTTTTAATGGAGTGAAGTCCCGGTCAGGCTTTCAGGAGCTGCTGCATCTGCTGCATCATCTGCTGCTATGCTTGCCTGCAAGCTCCTGCACCAACAAGATAAGGATTTAGGATACAACTGGCCAAGCCTTCGAGGAGTAAAAGCAGTCAAGTACCAGCCACTACAGAGCCCAGTTTTCCAAACGTACCGTTGTCCACTTTGATCACCGGTTTTGCTTCTACAACATGCGCCAACCCCTTCAGTGAGCTACAAGTAGGACCGAGTAGGAGTAGCCAACTAGGCACAATCTTGAAACACAAGCAATAAAATCACTCAACTTGTTCGAGCTGCGGTAAGTCATGGGCTTGTTACCATGAGCGCACTACCAATGTTCCCCAAGGCCGGGGCAACCTTGGAGCCGAAAGCGGCCTGGACTGGAAGCAGCGTGTATCCCCTCATTCGGTTCTAGTTGCGGTAGACCAAGCCTACAGCTCTTCAAGCAGGGTGACATTAACATGAATCTGCAATTTCACTTGCTTGCCAGTATGGCCTCCACTTGGCGGCGTTCAATCCCTGCTTTGCCACCCAAGGCCTGACAAATGGCTACCAAAGAGCGCAGCGCTGATGTTGCCAGGCACGATTAGGCACTTGCAGGTTCACGGTCTCGAAATTTCTTACACACACACACAAGCACAGCACTGTGGACCAAGCTGGGGCGCTCCCAGCCGCCAACGCCGCTGCAGCCAGGGCAGGCCTCAGACACTCACATCCGTCGGCATCATTCAGAACGCTGGAAATAAGTTGCTTGATATCAGGGAACGTGGTGTACTAGTGCAACTCGCAAAGGAACAGCTTGGTCAGAACTCACTTCTTCTCTTTGCCAAGTCCCTGGCGCGGAGGCATCTAGCAGGCGCAGCATCCGAAGCACCAGCAGGATCTTGCCCCGCTCCTGGCAGTGGCGGGAGGAGCTCCTTAAGCCTAAAGGGTACGTGCATCTAAACAAGGCGTAGCAGGCATCTAAACCTGACCTGGTCATTTTCGCATCTCTGCCACCCGATCAAATTACCCCTGCCCCAGCCCGCCCCCTCTCTCTGCCCAATTCTCTGCGGCGAGTGTCATCCGCACCCCCACCAATCTTGCCCACATCTCGCATCACTGCTTGTTGCTCTTGATGACTTTACAAGGTAGCACAGTAACAACACGGGCCACACACATACGGCAACGCGTAAGCGTTGACCCCGGCTCACCTCCGTAAGACTAATTAGTACCAGTATTGCGTGAGGCACCCTAATTCTGCCAAATCATCTCATCCAGGCATCTCTCACAACTGGCGGGAATCCGGCACCCGCCTCTTTGGGCAAGTGATGCCAACGGTGCCGGACCTTTTTTAGAGCTTAGCAAGGCCGCGAAGCAAAGCAGTTGCACTTGCTAGGCGCCCTGCTGCTGCGCAAATGGCTACCACACAGCCGGGAGGATAGCCAGCGCACAGTGACGCGACAGCCTGGGGGAAGTCAACGCAAAGCTGGGTGCGCATTTGCACATGTACAGTACCGTCGCAGTTGCACTCGCATATCTACATCTAAATCGTGACCTTGTGCAGTACGAAGGTGTGGTATGGATGAGCATGGTTTGCATTGTCATTTGCATTTTTACTGGTTGTAAGATAATACCCGAGCTCATTCCTGTGTCCGTGCGCAACTTAGTCTTGATCTTGAAAATTGGGATGATGGGGACTAAACAAACTGCCTGCAGCTTCGGTATACGTTTGCTTCCGAAGCTTCGGCAAAACTTGAAGCAGCAAGTGTCCAATCCGGGGGCACAACGGCCTCCATGCTTTGTAGAGGTGCCTGCTAGCAAGTGGGGAAATGACCAGTGACAAAGATTCGTCTTCCCCCTAGCAGGCGTGAATGTCTCACTTTGAACGTTTGACAGGAGAAAATGTCTCTGCAACCCAGATCCTTCCATCTCCAAGTGTTCGGAAACTCATTCATTTACCATACCTGCAAGACTACTGGACTTTGGCTCGTCTCCCCGATCCTTCCTTGCAAATCAATCAAGCCTGCCTCTGCGTCCATGGCTTGAAAGAATTTCTCCGAAGCCTCAGGTGGCTGCAGTCTGTTGCTGGAAGCCCTCTGCAGCTTTGCGCGAGGTGTTCTGTGAGCTTTTGAATCGAAGCCTCAGATCTGACGACGTCCGGCGGCATATGGCATAGAAGGACAACCAGAATCATGAAATGCTTGTATGCACCTGCATACGTGCTTGACATCGTTGTCTATCGAAGTATTCCCCAAAAGTAAGCCTAATAACACTCCCCTATACAATTCCCTATCCCCGTTGAAGAGTTTAAACCATAGGTCATGAAGCTACAACTCCCCGTAGGCCGTAGGCCTCACGCCTCAAGTGCCCGAAGAACCTCGGAGCCAGGAGGCCCGGGGGACAGGCCACCCGGCAAGCCCGTCCTGCAGTCATGACATAGGGTTCCCTATATTATGAGCTGTAGTCCAAACTCCTTAAAGTGGGCTCAGACAGGGATGATGTAGGGGAGTATGAGGATATTAGAAGGTTTCAAGGGGATACTAGGACTTTAGCCTATAGCTCATATGACCCCAATAGCCAGTTCAAAGAGGATCACAGTGACAACCATGCCAGAGACAACCGAAGAGGGTAAAACTTCAAATTTGTTGATCTGACTGACTGTTGGCATTCATGATGTAAATGTCAGAGACATGTTGCGTTCCGCCATGACTTAAAGCAGCTGACGTTGGATGTCTTTCAGCCTTCAGCCGGCATTTGCAACAAACCCCTAAACCCTATATAATCCTATCCATATATAAATATGTCCCTATGTAACTTAGTAACCCTATATCCCAAACCCTATCTAACCCCTATATCATCCAGCGCCTGAAACGGTAGAAGGATGCTCCAGGCCTTGCTTTTTCAGGCTTTTGGATGGGTTTATACTTTAACCTCCACGCGTGACGCGTGTTAAAGCGGGCGAAAGTCGGAATATCAAACCTCAAAGTTTTGGAAGCCGGGGGGAAAGTCGACGAAGAGCAAATTCGAAATTATGGCAGCCACATTAGACTTCAACTTGGGACAGTGAGCCCATGCCTGCACAGGAATTGAAATCGCAGCCAAGGCACACTTCCAGCTGCTGGAACCCCTACCGGTCAGGGCAAAGCAACTACCCGCTCCACTTTGGGCTCTCGTGGTTTCTCTTTACTTTACGACAAGTCAGTCACATGAAGCAGTGCATGGCCCAATGGATCCCATGTGGTTGCGGGTCCTTCGATCGTCGAAGGATTCGGCGCAGGGCTACAGCTGCAGCCACCGCTCCGCACCTTCTTGGGGAAGGTGGGTGAGATACATCTGACCATGTTGCTCTGCTGTGGAAACATGTCATGGTGTAATGACGTGTTATTCGCTTCTCGCTGGCGTCTTCTATCATTTTTGCCATGCTTGCATGCTGACACTTAGCCTCAAGATGGGTAGCTCGAAGGTCCAGCTTTTCTGGTCCCCACAGTACCTTGCTCTGATGGACACTTGGTCCTTACAGCGTTCTGGATTTCCGAGCGTCAGCCAGGAATGACCGCAGATCAATTTCGCTGGATGCGCCACTCTGCAGGTGAAGGAAACGAGGATCTTCAGCTTCATTTGGCTTCGTTTCATGGGGCTCTTCCAGCAACTGCGGGTGCTCAATACGTGCATGCTGCCGGTTCTGCCCCTTCTTTGGTGTTGCGATTTGTCACCGGCTATGCTCAGCACTACAGTGCTCAGTTTTCAACCACCCAAGGCCTGTCGACAAAAAGAACGTTGGGGACAGTCAGCAACATGCGCTGTGAGAGTCCGCTGCTGGGCGCTGTAGCCCATCGCCCCATTGTCATGTGCCTGCAGTACCTGGCACGTTGGCCTCAGAGTTTCCAAGTGTTGGCCTCGGGCTTCTACTTGCATGCAACGAGACGGTGCCAGCAGATAAGATTCATGTGCTGAAGCATCTCGTGTGCCACGGGGCTTGCCATTTGCTTCTTGATCGCAGCCAAGGCCTGCTCGAACGTGGCCAGCGATTTTTGCTTCTCCTCCCAACTGGTTGAGCCAACAAGGAACTATGAGCCTTGTGGAGCATGTCCAAAGACATGTCTCAGTGCTGCATGGAGCGAGGTCTCCTTTTGCAAGCGCCCGGCCAAGGCTGTGCTCTCAGCACCTGACGCGCTTGCCCCTATCATCCCTATCATCCACCCCCTCCCCCAAGCCTTGACACCCAACACATGCTTTGCGTAGTCTTTTCAGTTGTGGGTCAAGCTTCTCAGTCTTTGGGAATCACTAAGTGAGCTGTGGCCTAAACCCTTT